GCCCTGAAAAGACGCCAGGCAGAGGACAAATAGTTTCCATGAAGGTTCTGCTTGGTCTAAGTATAGAAACGACAGTAAGCACTTGGAGCATTTTATAAACTGTGTTCTAGAAAGAAAAAAGTATCATGCTTGAAATGATCAAGAAAATGTGGTATCTATATATACATATATAGATACAATGGAATACTACTCGGCAACGAAAAAGAATATCTTGACAGCATGGAACTGGAGGGTATTATGCGAAGTGAAATAAGTCTGTCAGAGAAAGATAAATATGTTTTCACTCAAATGTGGAATTTGAGAAACTTAACAAGACCATAGGGGAAGGGAAGGGAAAATAAGTTACAGAGAGGGAAGCAAACCATAAGAGACTCTTAACTACAGAGAAACCTGAGGGTTGATGGGGGTGGGGGAGATTGATGGGTGATGGGCATTGAGAGCACTCTTTGGGATGAGCACTTGGTGTTGTATGTAAGTGATGAATCATGAAAATCTACTCCTGAAGCCAAGACTACACTGTATGTGAGCTCACTTGATAATAAATTATTTTTTTAAAAAATCATGCTAAGACAAGCTTGTTTTAGAGCCTCATCTCCCTCAGTCACAGGTAGTGGGGGCCATGCTTACCTTGGCGTTGGACTAGTGACTGCTCCAAGAAAACCATGCTTTTCTCACTTTGTGGCAAATTATGTGAATAGAAGTCGTTTTGGGGCCAGGGTCCTTGGGTGGCTCAGTCAAGCATCTGCCTCTTGATCTGGCTCAGGTCATGATCTCATAGTTGGTGAGGTCAAGCGCAGCATGAGGCTCTGTGCTGTCAGTTTGGGATTCTCCCTCCTCTCTGCCCCTCCCCTGCGCTCTCACTTAAAAATAATAATTTAAAAAATAGTTTTTGGGCCTAGTCTTAAAAAATTAAAGCTATGTGATTAACTCTTCATTTGTAAAGATACTTTAAGACTGAGCATAAGTCATGTATGTCTTAAACCAAATGAGGGTAATAATCAAGTCTCCTACCTGTAGCCCATAAAACTCGTTAAATTTAAATAACCAGAAGAAAGCAAGATGAAGTGAAGTTAGTACTTTCAAACAACACTTCTAAATAGATCACACCTGGGCAGTTATTCCTAAAGTGTTGAAGGCTGAGTGCAATACAACACCCTGAAAGCATTCACAAATTAGCACATTAGGTAGTTTTTCTTAAATACACACACACACACACACACACACACACACACACAAAAGTCCTCAGATGAGGATTCACTTTAGGAGGAGAAAACCAAAACCCTTAAGATACTCAACTAACTGGAACAAAGATTCACCAAGAAAACATTCAGTTCTCACTTCTGAGTCCAGATTAATATTAGTCTCCAGATTTTTTTTTAAATGTTTTATTTATTTCTAGGGGAGAGAGAGAGAGAGACAGCGTGAGCAGGGGAGGGTCAGAGAGAGAGGGAGTCACAGACTGAAACAGGCTCCAGGCTCTGAGCTGGCAGTCAGCACAGAGCCCGACGCGGGGCCCGAACCCACGAACTGCGAGATCATGACCTAAGTGAAAGTCGGACGCTTAACCGACTAAGCCACCCAGGCGCCCCTAGTCTTCAGATTAGTGGTTCTCAACCCTACGTCCTAAAATCTGGGGGTGGGGAGGGTTCTAAAACTATTGTCTGAAATTCTGGGGGTGATGCCAAGGAAGAACTATTAAGCTTTCCAGGTGACTTGAATGTGTAGCCAGGCAAGAACCATCTCCGTAGAGAGATCCACTCCCGATGTCCACACCCCTGGTGACAGTCCACTACCTTCTTTGAAGGATTAATATAAACAACCTTCACTTGCGGAGGGGATGTTACACTATCAAAACCATGGAGTTGACTTACAGTGGCTTACTTGTAATCTTCTGATATATTTTAAGTTGTTTCCTTTAAATATTAAAAACTATATATAGACACCTTCTGTGATTTTTTGGGCTGCAAGGACTGGAAACTCCACCTCAAAATAAAGGGAATTCACTGCAAAGCTACTTAGGGTTTGGAAGGAGAAAGCTGGCAGCTTGGTCAGTTCTATTCTATTCTATTCTATTCTATTCTATTCTATTCTATTCTATTCTATTCTATTCTAATCAACTCTCCTATACACAAAGGATTACTGTCATCATCTCTCTGCTCCTTGCTGCAGCCTCCTGTACTCTTCTCTTCATAAAACAGACTAGCTTCTCTTACTTTCTTAATTGTTATGCCCTCCTAATTTGAATTTTCCTATAGAGAATTTCACTAGCCAAGCTGATTTTTATGCAAACTCATTTGCCTTCAGGTAGGCTGTCATTGGATCAGTGCTTAGCCCTGGTCTACCCAGCTAGGGTAGTGGCAAAGCTTATAGGAGTCAAGTGTGTAAGTGGGGATGGGTTCCCAAGAGGTTATCCTGGGTGAATGAATGAGGGCACACAGCAAACAGTTCTAGTGGTACAGGAGGGCTGCCCACAGCATTCAGGATAGCAGAGAACCCGCAGCTTAAAACTTTGACCATGAATGCAGTAAACATGACCATTTTTCTTAAAACTTTATTCTTATGAAGGTAAATTGCAGTTTTAAGGTAAATTGTGGTTTTGCTAGATTTTCAAAGAAATTATCCTATTAGAATGCTGCAGCTTCTAGGACTATGACTATAGGCAGTTCTGCCTTCCCCTGAAGGAGAGATATTAGCTTTGTTTGCCAAATAATCATTCGATTATGTGCAAAGGTTGCAAGTCAGATAGTACACACGGTTTTGCTCTGTATTCATGTAGAGTCTCTAGTAGTGGTTCTCAACCCTGACTACATCTTAGATCTCCTGGGGGCGGGGGGTACATTTCTAAAACTATCATCTGAAACTCCAGGAGTGATGCCGGGGAAAAACTGCTAAGCTTTCCAGGTGATTCCAGTGTGCAGCTAGGCAAGAACGACCCCCACACTCCCAACATGGTCTCACTGCACTTTCAGTAGTTTCTGAAAACTTCACATTTAAATTACAAACTAGCTTATCTTTTTCACTACTGTTGTAAAGAGAGCTACCTTCCCTTCTTGCCTATGAAAACAAAACAAAAACCTCACAAAGTTAGGGATCACAGGTACATTATAGAGGACTCCTCAACCTTCTCCCATTTAAAGCCTAGTATCAGTTATATGTTAAAAAATAAAAGATTGACATGCCAGCATATTGGCTCATCATTTAAATCTTTCCTTCCTCTATTTTTTAAGATTTTTTTTAAAGTAATCTCTATACCTAGGGGCGCCTGGGTGGCTTAGTCGGTTAAGCGTCCGACTTTCGCTTAGGTCATGATCTCGCGGTTCGTGGGTTCGAGCCCCGCGTCGGGCTCTGTGCTGACTGCCAGCTCAGAGCCTGGAGCCTGTTTCAGAGTCTGTGACTCCCTCTCTCTCTGACCCTCCCCTGCTCACGCTGTCTCTCTCTCTCTTTCTCCTAGAAATAAAAAAAAAACATTAAAAAAATATTTTTTAAAAATAAAATGTTAATGTTTTAGAGAGAGAGCATAAGCAGGGGAGGGGTAGAGAGAGATGGAGACACAGAATCCAAAGCAGGCCCCAGGCTCTGAGCTGTCAGCACAGAGCCTGATGTGGGGCTCAAACTCAGGAATCATGACCTGAGCCGAAGTGGGATGCTTGACTGGGCCACCCAGTTTCATTTTAATCTTTTGATTATTATATGGATGAACAGTTTCAAATCATAATTGTATTATATTGTCTATTTACCAAATATATATCAATAGCGCAGTTACAAAATGATCATGAAGTTGGATGAAAAGTTGAGACTTTAGTGCTAATGACCAATTCACAAGAAATACAGGATACGAGAGGAATGATAAAAGTACAGACTTAACAATCAGCCAGATTGAGACTGTGGAAAAGTCAAGAACTGACCAGGTTTTAAGTTTATTTTGAGAGAGAAAGGGAGGGAGGGAGGGAGGGAATACACACACTTGTATGGAAGCTAGGGAAGGGCAGAGAAAGTGAGAGGGAGAATCCCAAGCAGGCTCCGTGGAGCCCCACCACGAACTGAACTGTTGAGATCATGACCTGAGCTGAAATTGAGAGTTGGCCGCTTAACCAACTGAGCAACCCAGGCACCCAAAGAACTGACCAGGTTTATTCAATGACAGAGACAGAGAAGAGGAGGGAGTTGGAGGAAGTAAAATAACATAAATTAAGAGACTTACGAAGCACATTAATAAATTGCAGTTTATGAACTTTAATGAATCTCTATTTGAATAAACTGTCAAAATCATGTGAGATCAGAAAATGTGACTACTGAATGCATATTTGATGGTATTAAGGAATCGTAGGTTTGTGTGCATGTAATAATGATATTGTGGTTAGTTTTTTAATGTCCCCTTTTAGCCGTGCATTCTAAAGTTTTATAGATGAAGTGATATATCTGAAGCTTGCTGGGGTGGGGCAGCAAGGAAGGCACGGGGGTATAGATTAAATGAGATTGGCCGTGAGTTGGCAATTGTTGAAACTGGATAACGAGTATGTGGAAGTTATTCTATTATTCTATTCTCCCCCATTTTTATTTATGTTTGAAAATCTCCACAATAAACTTAAAAAAAAAAGATGAAGTTTTCAAAATCATTAGGACAGTTCAATTTCTGACTTGTCTACTGTTTGTGGTAATCACCAAACTCACTTTATCATAGCCTGAGTTTCTATCTTATATCTTTAAGGAGTACCTTTCAAGGTAAAAACCACAGTCCTATAAACTGTTAATTACAGACTTCCTTACTATTTAATACTTTGTTAGGTAAACACTGCAATGTCATATCATTAAATTCCTATGATGGTCTATAAAGTATTGGGCGGAGTAATTATAAACCAACTCACCCTAAAGAGGTCAATACTTAACAGCAATACACCATCTAATACTCAATTTCAGACAAGAAAGTTTATACAAAAAACATTTTATTAAGTACAATTCCATATTTAGAACACCCAAGATTACAAATGTGATTATTTAGCATACATAATTTATTCTTAAAATACTTAAGTTATATACAGACATTAAAAACTCAGTCTCCAAAATACTCAATAAAGATGTCTGGATGATACTTGTAGAACTGACTTAGCAATTTTTTCTTCTCTTTGGCAGATAGTTTTGAATCCTCATCAATAGTTTTTAGTAAATTCATTAGTTCATCCTTGGTTGTCTTCTGTGAATAGTCAGAATAATCACTTTGATCAATTCTCTGGCAATATATATATCCTTCAAGTTTAAAAGTAAAAAGTTCAGTTAATGAACCTATTCCTCAGATTTAACTTAAAAATCGTAATATTTTTACATTTATATTTTTATTCCCCAGTTTGCAAAATGCAATAAATATTCTAAGTACTGCTGACTTTCTAATCCCTATCAAGTTACTTTTTTTTCTTTTAAGTTTAAGACAGAGACAGCACAAGTTGTGAAGGAGCAAGGAGAGAAAAGAGGCAGAGAATCCCAAGCAAGCTCCATGCTGGTCAGCAAAGAGCCTGATGTGGGGCTTGAACTCACGAACCATGAGATCATGACACCATCCAAAGTCAAGAGTAGGATGCTTGGGGTGCTGACTTCGGCTCAGGTCATGATCTCCCCATTCGTGGGTTCGAGCCCCACGGCGGGCTCTGTGCTGACAGCCAGCTCAGAGCCTGGAACCTATCTTCGGATTCCGTGTCTCCTCTCTCTCTGACCCTCCCCTGCTCATGTGGTCTCTCTCTCTCAGAAATAAATAAAAAAAACATTAAAAAGAAAATTTAAAAAAGAAGAGTAGGACGCTCAACTGACTGAGCCACTCAGGCTCCCCAGGTCAAGTTACTTTTTGACATAAGGAAGGTCTCTGGAGAGTCTGGGCAACTCCAAGGAATTTAAAGTTTAGTTGAAATTAAAGTGCAACTACTTACAGCAAAACTTTCAAATAAACACCAGGAATTTAGCTTTGGAAGATCACGAAAATACTATTTCTCAGATTACCTGTGTCTCTATTTGGATCTCTTCCTTTCTGAATGGCCATGAGCTTAACACTAACAATTTTATGTAGAGTTCCCGGAATCTTCAAGAAAGAGGAAAAAAAAAAAAAGAAAAAGAGGAGGGATATGGGACATTATTCAAATGCATTTCAATCTAGTGATCTATTACATAAGCTCAACTTAACTACTTTCAGAATTTTTACCTTAAAAACATCTTTTTGATGATCCATTAAAAAGAGTACCAGAAGATCAGTTTTGCCTTTGGATAAATTTTTATTGTCAACAATAGCTTTTGAGAATATCCTTTTCACAACCATTCGGTTGTCGCTCTGTAAAAATAAAACACAACACACCCAATAGTGTATATTTAAAAGAATAAATTTAATATAAAAGGCAATATTAAGTATTAATGGCTATCATTCACTTCAGCATACTTGATGCCAATGTAAAATAATCTGACATGTTGGTCCTATAACTATTAAGGCTACTGAATACAATTAACATTTAGACGAAAGACTTACTTCTTTCTGTAACTTAAATGCAGAAGGATGTGCTGCAACAGCCATGAAATACAGTAGTCTTCTAAATTCTTCTCTATTTTGGGAATCCAAAAGCTTTAGAAAGAGCTGAGTAGCTTCTAATGCTATTTCAGTCTTCCCATTCACTTCAGCCAAAAGAAAAAAACAGCTTTTAATTTTGAACAAATAGGACTACTAAAGGAAAAAAATTCAAGTTAAAGCTTAAGTTAAACAGTAAACTTATTCAAAACTATTTTCAAAAGCAAAACAAAGCAAAAAGACTAGGAATTACAATAAATGACCAATACCAACCTTCAAGGCAGCCTACTCTCAAATTGGCAACTCATCCTCTAAATCCTTGTCAATTTAACAATCTTAGAATGGTATAGCAAACTCTTGGCTTTGTAAATAAATTCCCAGCCTGCTTCTCATTAATTCAATACATTTCAAGTGTACACTATGTGTAAAGTACTGATGTATCCAACTCTACCTGAGAAAAATAGAAAGGATTCTCTGAAACCCCCAATTTGTTTTCAACAAACCATGAGGAACAGTCTGGCTCATTGGTAGAAGGACAGAGTGTCTGCCATTTTGAAGAGAATGGAGCGGGATGGTGATGTTGGTCATGCTTTCTACAGAAGAGAACTACCACGCTATACTTATTAAACTCCCAGTGAATGAGGGCAGCATTCTCCTGTGCCCAGAGAGGTTCCTGCATAACTATACAGGTTATTAAAGCTTTCCAAATCATTCCTAGAGGTTTTGGAATAAACATACTTTCTGTGGATTAATCCAGATCCACTCCCAGCTTGAAGTAGTGCCATTTTGGTTAATTCTGAGGATAATTAACTTTTTCTGTTTTTTTTCCCTAAAAGACACATTCCAGGATCCAGTAAGCTCTTACTTACCTAAGAGTTCTGCGATGCCATTATGAACATCTGATAAATGATTTAACAGAGGCTCCCTACTACTGTAATATTTTCCAATGGCATCAAACAGAAGTTCTTTCACTAAATCTGTCCTATCTGGTTGCTCAGGAAAGTTTCTACTTATGTCCACCACCATCTGGTCTGGAAGGTATTCTAAGCAGTCAGCTGCTGCAGAGAGCCATTCATCTTCCCTATGGGGAAAAAAGAATTTTATTTTAAAAAGCAAAAAAGCAACATATGTACACACAGTATGTAATTTACTACCTATTTCAAGTCTGCCATGAGGATAGATTTCTATGCACTCAGACAAAGTATGTGGAATTCTTTTTAACATATAGCTAGATCATATATCACAGACCAAAGGCTTGGCTTAATAGGTCTTCTCTTTCTTTTTTTATTTTGAAGGGAAAACAGAAGCTATCCACTACAATATAAACTAAAAGGGACATCAGAATTCAAACTCTACTCTTTAAATTTATGACAGGGGCCCAGCAACTCTGAGTTACTTGCTCAGGGTCCCAGGCAGGACTACATCGCAGATCTCACTCCTAGGCCAGTACTTTTCTAATACAATATTGCTCACTTCATAGTTCTGTGTGTGATCAATCATCTCTCACTTTGGCTAGGAGAGAATAAAGGAAAATAAGGTAGGGTTTCAAAATAACTAAATATTAATTTCCATTTCTAATAAAATACCAGCTGGGTAACTTCAGGAAAATGCTACATCTTAAAAAATAGAATAAGTAGCTTTTCATATTCAACTTATTAATGGAGATTATGTATTTTATATATAGTTTTTAAAAAATCATGTGCTCTACTACCATGAGCGCAGGACAACTAATTCTGTAACCACTCAGGTGCACTATGTCGGGCAGATCAGGTCACCCTTCTGGGCATCAGCTTCATAAAGTTAATGGTAAGATGCAGCTAGATGATCTTTAAAGGTCACTTTTAGCACAATTTCTAACTCTGTATTTACAATTTAAGGTAATTATAAAATCTTTTCAGGGGAGCTTGGGTGGCTCAGTTGGTTAAGCAGCCAACTCTTGATTTTTGGCTGTCATTATCTCACGTTGACAATGTGAAGCCTGTTTGAGATTCTCTCCCTCACTCTCTGCCCCACATGCTTGCTTGCTCACTCACTCACTCTCAAAATAAAATAAATTTTAAAAATGTTTTCATATGTTACTTTAGATTGTAGAAATAGAATTTAAATTCCTTTTTTTTAAAGAGTTATGTATGATTTATTTAATCTTTTTTTTTTTTAACTCTGTTCATTGTGATGATTTAAATTCTTATTGAATAATAAGCCCCCTACTGTATACACAGAGTTCAAAAGTATGTTGGGATTAACTTTTTTTGGCATAAGATTTTAAGCTACCTTTTGACATTCAACTATTAACTGGACTGCAGAACTCATGAAGTACTGAAAATGTAAGCTGCATTCCTTTCAAACAATTCCATTTCACTAACTACTGAACACTATCTGCCAAGGCAAAATAATTAAAAATTAAATAAGCTACAAGAAATAAGAAAATACAAGATTTTAACATGATAGTTTTACTTAGGAGAAGAGTTTCAAAGTTACAAGGAATATAGAACTCTTCCTTAAGGAAAAATATCGTATCTCCCTTAGCACCTGAAGTTAAGCCTTCACACCTTAAAGATTTATATTCAGAAGAATGATGGTCAGATGTGAGAGCAAGAGTTACTTTCATTATATTTCTTTAATAAAACAAGTTAATTAAAGTACATATTCAAGATATTCTGGAGAAATATAAAAATATAGGTAGTCAAAGGATTCTGAGTATTTGCCAAATCTGTTAATTTTGTTCCAAGTCCCTTTGAAGACCAGAGAGCCCTACATTTTTAACAAAGATGAGATGGAACATAATCATCTTCTTCACTTGATGTGCAAGGTATGTGTGAAACAAAAATGAATATAAAAATCATGAAAATTAAATCTCTAATTTTAACCAAGGTAATTTTGTTCTCCACTTTCTCAAATACTGATAATTATCAATTGACCAATGCATCTCTAATCCTGTGGACAGAAGAATCCAAAGGATTATCTTCAAACCATTATCTATAATCTTCCTACAAACACACTCAAATTATTAGATAAATGTATTGCCACATACTGAGAGTCACTATAAGCCTTGAGAATCCCTCGATCCAGATAGTTACTGTTGTTGATCAAGTCAGGTTGCCTCTTAGGCTGAGGAACTTTAGATACAACCTCTTGCTGTTTGAGTAAGGAGTCAAGAAGTGGAAGGTCTACAAGCTGCAGGAGACGTCCAATAGTTTCTTCTTGCCACACTTCATTAATAACTACACAGAAAAAATGGCAAGGAGAAAAGTAACAATAGTTATTAAATGCTCACCACAATATTTGCCTAGGCAAGTATAAGGTATAAATTTGTGTGTGTGTGTGGGGGGGGAACGGAAAGAAAAGAAAGAAAAAAGTCAATCTTATGAAGTGGTTTATTATGAGAAAATAAAAACAATTCAAGATTTGTTTAAAGTGTAGGAGAACAGACTTTGGACAACAGGAATTCTTTTCATTCTTGTCCTGTAAAAAGCAATATGGCAGAGATAAGAGATCAAGTCATATAACATGTTAATAAGGCCTTCGGAAGAATGATTCATTATTCAATCTGAAAACTGGTTTGAAATGATTGGCTGCAGATTATTCCACTCAGGGTTTCCATAGCTAGGATGGGGGAGGGAAGGTGGAAATCGGTCATGAGTCTACATTTCTTTGCCACAGACCAGGAAGAACATTAAGAGTTCTGTTAATGTTTTAATGTAATTTTCAAAATTTTATTTAACCTAATAAAATGTTAGAGAAAGAAATGTCTGAGAGCAGATTTTAAATACATAAAAATCTGCACGCAAAACACTGCAATTTGAACCTCTGCCAGCTGATAGGACAAAAGTCAGTGTTCAAGAATTGCAACACTGATCTATTTGTTAAAGATAATAGACCTCTGTTAACAGTTAATATAAACAGCTTTAATACACAGTGTGCTCTTTCTTTGTGCTTTGAATATTTAAATTCTAATAAAGGTTAAGATTGAGAAGTTTTAGATAACTAACTTTATCTGAAGTTGGTATTCTAGATTTCTTACTTGGATCATCTTTACTTACCTTGTGGAGACAAAGTTGTAGACATGTTTATGTGAGGGGAGTTAGCAGGCTTTAAACTCAGATTTTCCCAGAGATCCTCTAAACTTGCTGATGTGGAATCAGAGGACCTAAACAATGCATCTGAATACCTAAAATGAATTTATTTTGTAAATTAATGTTTATTAGTAAGCCCAGAGAAATATTTTACTGTCAGAAAGCTAAGAGCATCTACGAAGTTTTAGTTCAGAGCAAAAACACAACAAATCCAAATTCTAACAACGGAATACAAAAACATCTACCTTCTTTCTCAAGCCTAAATATACATACTCTAAATTCTCCTATGAACATTTAGATTTAAGTAATTCAATGATTAAAATTTTGGTCTCCAGGGGCGCCTGGGTGGCTTAGTCGGTTAAGCGTCCGACTTTCGCTTAGGTCATGATCTCGCGGTTTGTGGGTTCGAGCCCTGCGTCAGGCTCTGTGTTGACTGCCAGCTCAGAGCGTGGAGCCTGTTTCAGTCTGTGACTCCCTCTCTCTCTGACCCTCCCCTGCTCACGCTGTCTCTCTCTCTCCTAGAAATAAACATTAAAAAAAAAAAAAATTTTGGTCTCCAATTTTAGAACATAATCAAACTTCATTTATGCTTCCTGTTGTTGTTTTTATCAGTTATGTCTATTTCTGGGGCATTCTTTGGTGGATAGTGCTCATCATTTTCCAAATATAGAACCAATAATCCTTTACCCACAATTCTGAAACCCAAAAAGCTGTGAAAAAGCTGTGAGTTTATTCAGAACTCATATGGTGACAAAAGCTAACCTGAGACTGTCATAGCCTTTCCTTCTCCCAGTTAGTAGGAGTATTTTGTTTACTGCAGAAATACTAATACGTTCGGTTACCAGATGCTGCCCTGGGTCCCTCCAGGATTGTTATCAAACATATGTTCTATGTACAAAAGTATCTTTTTAAGATCTCCAAAGTTCCAAACTGCTAAATGCATATAGCCCCAAAGGTTTCAGATGAAGCATGTGGACCTGTATCTGGAAAGCACAGATTTTGCCCTATCTTACCATCATATCTCCTTCCTATGTTTAGAGGTAATTTTATCATCTTTCTAATATAGAGTTATGAAAGTTAATATTTTATACACTAAATACACTAAAAATACACAATATCTGATACACAATACACTAAAAATAACTGAAAGTCAGTAACACTAAAACTCTTTGAGTCAGATCTGAATTCTAAGACTTCAGTTACATAGTCCCCTCTACACAGTTTAGCTAAAGGAAATAAAAGGGAAACGTATTTCATGACAAATAAGTGAATTATGTACTTATCACATCCATCCATTTCAACCAGTGGTTTCTACGATTCTGTCCCCCAGTCTCCCTGTTCATCACTATTGCCCACTTCACCCTCATCTATGGACTGCAATACTGCAATAGATCCCTAACGAGCTCTCCCTGTCAGGCTGTCCATATGGCCGCCAGGATGACCTTTCTAAAATATAATGTCATTTTTCGTGGCCTCCCCAACATCTGTATGATCAACTGCAAACTCCTTAAGTCATATGAAACTCTCGGCACTCTGGGTCCCACATGCTTTTCAAACTTCACATCTGCCATTTCCTAGATTCTGGTGATAATCTACCTGCCTACCTTCACCTCCTCTGTTCTCATACCACTTGTGTATAAACTAACATACTTTTATGCTATAATTGTAACTTGAAGCAGAAAAATCAAAGTTTGTTGACTGTTTCCACTAAATATAAAATATGAACAAGCAACAATCCCAGGAGATATCGAATAAACAAAAGTTCACTGTATTTTATCAAATTTACCCACAGACCCAGATTTCAGCCTCATTTATAGTTTCCAAAATAAAATAAAACCATTCAGCCTGTTGCTAAGTTTAGACGAAATCCTGCCCAATACCCCCAGGATAATCTAACATTATATACTAACCTGGAAGGTGAATATAGTTTATTCTCTTTGCCTAATTGACTGTCTTGGTTAGGTATGGTTGTGAATCTATAAAGGCTGCAACTACTATCTTCAAATGTAGGTTTTTTGTCTTTTCCAAAGACTTTTGTTGGAACTGCTTCAAATACTTTGTAGTCCATAAGTGCTTGACACACTCTTACCACTTTGGCCCGAGGAATATCTACATCACCAAAATATTTATTCTGAATTAGGTGAGAAAAAATGACATCCACAGCTTCTGAACCAACAAAACAGTCATTGTGTCTTTTTAAATGGTGTCTTCGTTTTTTCACCTCCACCTGTGTTTGAAGAGTGTTTATAATGCTGCTCCACACATATGTGGCTCCAAATGGTTGCTGGGCCACGCTGAAACCTGTAATGGGAAAAATGCAGAGTAACCTTGTTCATTTATAATAAGGTCTAAGCAATCCTTAAGCAAAAAGTAGCCATTTCAGGGGCACCTGGGTGGCTGTCTGTTGACTGTCTGACTTCAGTTCAGGTCATGATCTCATGGGCCATGGGTTCAAGCCCTGCATTAGGCTCTGTGCTGACAGCTCAGAGCCTGGAGCCTGGTTTGGATTCTGTGTCTCCCTCTCTGCCCCTCACTCCTGTATGTGCTCGCACACTCGATCTCTCCCTCTTTCAAAAATAAACATTTAAAAAAAAGTAGCCATTTCAGGGATGCCTGGGTGGCTCATTCAGTTAAGCATCCACCTCTTGGTTTCGGCTCAGGTCATGATTTCATGGGTTTGTGAATTCAAGCCCCACATCAGGCTCTGCCCTGGTGGCATGGAGCATGGCTGGGATATTTTCTCTCTCTCTGTCTCTCTCTGCTCCTCCCTCTCTCACCTTTCTCAAAACTAAATAAGATAAACTTTTAAGAAAGTAGCAATTTCCAAAGTTATTACAAAGGAACAATTATGAGGTCAGCTTATTATTGAAATTTTAATTATTAGCAACTCATTTAAAATGCAATGCCAACCATATGCTGAACACTGTCCTACATGCTAGGATACAAAGGTGAACAAAATCAAATTCCTTTTCCCATGGACTTATACTTAGTGGGAAGATACAGACAATATGTACATGTTATATGAATGCTAAGAAGAAAAGTAAAGCTAGCTGAGGAAAAGAACACTATTTCAGATGGGTGTCAGGAAAGATCTCTCTGACAAGGGATGTCTGAGCAGAAGCCTAAGTGAAACCAGGAAGCAAGCTGTGCAGACATTTGGGGAAAGAGAACAGAAAGAGCAAGGGCTCTAGAAAGGAGAGGAAGAACAAGGCCAGCATGCACTGAGTGGGTAACCAGGGGGAGAACAGCAGGAAGTGAGATCAGAGGAGAGTGGAAATGGTCTTTGGGGTGGGGTATCAAGTAGGACCTTGTGGCAGTTACCAATTATGTGGAAGGAACTCTATTAAGTGCCTTACAAATGACATTATGTCATTAGCAACCATATGAGGTAGATAATAATCACTCAGAGAAGGAAAATAGATTCCCAGAGGTTAAGTGTAACTTCCAAACATTATATTGTAAGCGGTGGTACTGGAATTTGGCTCATGGTCTATATGATTTTAAAGCATTTATTGGTAGGGGCGCCTGGGTGGCTTAGTCGGTTAAGCGTCCGACTTTCGCTTAGGTCATGATCTCGCAGTTCGTGGGTTCGAGCCCCGCGTCGGGCTCTGTGCTGACTGCCGGCTCAGAGCCTGGAGCCTGTTTCAGTCTGTGACTCCCTCTCTCTCTGACCCCCCCCCGCACACGCTCTCTCTCTCCTAGAAATAAATAAAACATTAAAAAAAATAATAAAATAAAATAAAGCATTTATCGGTAAATAGATAGATGTGTAATTATAGATACACACAGCAGCTGGAATAAACTAATATTTTTAAAGCTTCCTATTATGCATTCTTAGGAGTTCAGTACGTTGTAACAGGGAAAACTGGTTCCTGCCCGATAGGGGCTTACAACCTACCACAAAGATAGGAAAGGCACAGAAATAAAACAAGGTTTCAGCAAGACAGAAAAGCGAGAAAACATGCTTTCAAAGATTTATGTTTTTCCTCATGGTAATAAACTGATACTTGGCAAAACTACAAAGAAGAGGAGAAACAATAAAAGGAAAAAATGGACCTTCGTTTAATAAGCTGATGGAACAGAGTCTAGCTAATCATCTGTTCGGTGGCTGAATGGCTTGCTCTCTTTTTACATAAACACAGAGTATGCCTGTGAAAAAACAGAATGTATGAGATGAAAGCAAAGAGGGGCGCCTGGGTGGCTCAGTCAGTTAAGCATCCAACTTTGGCTCAGGTCAGGATCTCACGGTTCGTGGGTTTGAGCCCCGCATCGGGCTCTGTGCTGACAGCTAGCTCAGAGCCTGGAGCCTGTTTCAGATTCTGTGTCTCCCTCTCTCTCTGATCCTCCCCTATTCACGTTGCCTCTCTCTCTCAGAAATAAGTAAAACATTAAACAATTTTTTTAAAAAAGATGAAAGCAAAGAGAAGTTCCAAAAGACATTAAAACTCCACTTAATGTACTAGGGTCATAAATTTTAAGTGGGTCATCTGGAATTCATCTTTTGTATTTTACCTGCTTCAGATTCTGTGTCTCCCTCTCTCTCTGCCCCTCCCCTGCTCATGTGCTCTCTCTCCCAAAAATAAAAACATTAAAAAAATAAATAAAATTCAAGATACTTCATAATCCAATAGTAAATAAAGAAAGAAGTAATTGATGCCAATTTTCCAAACATCATGTAAGCAGTTTTAAGGACTGAATTATGGAGAATCAAATAGATATATCAAGCTGGAACTAAATTTACTACTGGTATAGTATTTAATATCTACTAAATAGAGCTAGAATGGAGGATTCAATGGAATCTCAAAATATGTCCAGGTCATTCCTGATGTCTAGACCTCAGGAGTAGCTACACTGTTTCCAGCTACAATAACTAAATAAAAGGAATATTCCCAGTTAATATTCTTTTTTAAGTTTATTTATTTACAGGAGCTCCTGGGTGACTCGGCTGGTTGAGTGTCCAACTCTTGATTTCAGCTCAGGTCATGATCTCACAATCATGAGATCGAGCTCTGCATTGGGCTCTGCACAGAGCTGGAACCTGCTTGAGATTTTCTCTCTCCCTCTCTCTCTGCCCCTCCTCTGCTCACTCTCTCTCAAAAATAAATAATGTTTTTTAAGTTTATTTACTTATGTTTGAGAGAGAACGAGAGCATGTAAGCAGGGGTGGGGGAGGGGAGAGAGAGAGAGACAGAGAGAGAGAAAGAGACAGAGAGAAAGAGACGGGGGGGGGGGGGGGGAGAGAGAGAGAGAGAGAGAGAGAGAATCCCAAGCAGGCTCCACACTGTCAGTGCAGGGCTCACCCAAACCAAGAGTCAGATGCTTAACCAACTGAACCACCCAGATGCCCTGAGCAGTTAATATTTTTAACTCTTTAAAATGCTAGAGATTGGGGCACCTGGGTGGCTCAGTCGGTTAAGCGTCCAGCTTCGGCTCAGGTCATGATCTCATGGTTTGTGGGTTCAAGCCCCCGCGTCAGGCTCTGTGCTGACAGCTAGCTCAGAGCCTGGAGGCTATTTCAGATTCTGTATCTCCCTCTCTCTCTGACCCTCCCCTGCTCACGCGGTCTCTCTCTCAGAAATAAATAAAACATTAAAAATATATACTAGAGGGGCGCCTGGGTGGCTTAGTCGGTTGAGCGTCCGACTTCGCTTAGGTCATGATCTCGCGGTTCGTAGGTTCGAGCCCCATGTCGGGCTCTGTGCTGACTGCCAGCTCAGAGCCTGGAGCCTGTTTCAGAGTCTGTGACTCCCTCTCTCTCTGATCCTCCCCTGCTCACACTGTCTCTCTCTCTCTCTCCTAGAAATAAATAAAAAACATTAAATATATATATATACTAGAGATTATAGCTGAGATTTAAAAAAATTTAATGTCTGCTCTTTAGTCTTTCAAATCTTCATTATATTATTATTAATAACAGCTAGTGTTTGAGCGCTTAAATATGACAAGCTCTGCCGTGTCTCATTCAATTCTGAGAAGCTTCTCTGAAATAGTTATTAATAATCTTATTTTGAAGAAACTGAGACTTGTGAATTAAACAAACTTGCCTGTAGTTTCACAGGTAGTAAACACACACTTTTTCTAGTACTTAAATATATCAAGCGGCACCTGGGTGGCTCAGTTGGTTAAGCATCTGACTTCAACTCAGGTCATGGCCTCACAGTTTGTGGGTTGGAGCCCTACATGGGGCTCTGTGCTGACAGCTCAGAGCCTGGTTTGGATTCTGTATCTCCCCTTCCCCCCTCTCTGCTCCTCCCCCGCTTGTGCTCACTCTCAAAAATAAACATTTATAAAATATTCAAAAACAGCAGTCATTAAATACAGTAGTCATTAGTACTAAAATAGAGTAGGATATCATAAATTCCGTAATATATACTAGCCACAGTATACAGGAGTAGGACAGGATAGGAAAGTAAGATTTGAACTTGTAGAGATCAGAGTGCCTTTTAAGTAGCAGTGAAACAGACTTCTGGGCTAGTAATAATGTTAAATCTAAAACACATCAGTCTTAACAGTTGAGCTACAAGTAGGTAAGTATACAAATCCTAAAAAATAAAAAAAAAATAAGGTTGAGTCACTAATTTGAGATCAACAAGACCACAGAAGGAGGGGAGAGGGAGGAAATACTCAGCTTCAGTGACATGGAAAAGGCTAATCTTCAGCAGGGAATTAAGAATAATAAATTTCCCCATATTAACTTGCTGCTTAAACATGGGAAATCAGGAAGTTTTGCAGGTTGAATAACACAGTATAAAAGATTAAAGAACAGGTTAGAGCAGGATAGGAGGCACCTATGAACCACACAATGTTTCCAGAGTCCTCCAGGCATGATACAATTCATCCCTTTCAGGTCCCCTCTGTTCTCACTGACCATTAATTCCCAACCATTGCATCCTGGGATATTTCCCCTCAAGCATCACCACCCACAGACCCAAAGTAGCTTCTGTTCATACAGATACTTTAATACATAATATACACTGGACTTGACAGGTAAATGTGCCAAAACCCACACCAGGATAACCTGTTTGTTTAATGCTGACTTCACCAGTTGAACACAGGTCCCCCACATGCTGGTTTGAAACTTATTTATCATCATCTAAGAGCTGAAATGAATATTGGTATAGCAGACCATGGCCCAGTAAGACGAATTACTGTGATTTCTAAACAGGATTCAAGAGACCAAAAGTATACAATGAACGCTTTGTAAGTCTAGCAATCAGAATTTCAGCCTGTCTCCAGCCCTCACTTGCATATGAGCTAGACATTTCTTTAATATTCATCACTATCTGCATCTTGATACTTCCTTATTCACATTTGGGCAAGCATGTTCTAAAAGCATCATGACCAAAGGATCAAAGAGTCTATAGAGACCAGCTGTGATAGCCTTGGATAAGAGAGTTAACCTCTACAGGTCAGTTTCTTCATTTACTGATACAAGAGCTGAACACTGTATTTAAGGTTGGTTTCCGGTCTACACTGCTGAATATAGGATTTGAGAGACTGAAATTCTACCCCATCTCCACTTAGATTTGGACATTGAACACCACATAAAATATGGTAAGAAATGAAGCACAGGAGCAAATGTGACCTTACCAGATACAAAGCTTTTTGGAAGGTGTCCGAGCCTAACAAGAGGCTCAGAAATTGTTTTAAACTCGATATACAATATACTACATACAGTCTTAAGCGCTATATAAATCTAGAACAGTTAACATTCATTTTTCAAGCAGATTCATCTTTGTTTGAAAATAGTTACTTTTCAAAGGCAAAGACCTGTCCTTTGCTTGTATTTGAAATCTAACCAAAATTTACCAAGAATTAAAAAGTTAAATTTCTAATGTTGAACTCTGATATATATTTGTAATACAACTGATAATCATCTTCATTTCTATACATGTACATTAAATAATCAACTTATTACAATAATTCCCTAAAAATCAAGCATAAGGCAGACAGGTCAAGAAATTACATTTACTCAAAGTTACAAAGGGACAATCAGCTTCAACCATGATCTGTGCAGCACCTCTACTACGGCCCTGCTCATGTTATTTAAGGGCAGAAACAATTCTATCATCACTTCAAATTTGTAGGATTACTGAACTCCTTAGAAGATCACTGTGTGGATCCCGATGCAAGGTAAACACACACAGAATTATGAAAACATGCTATTTTTAAAAAATATATTTATTTTTATCTTTTTAAATACTTTATTGTCAAGTTGGTTTCCATATAACACCCAGTGCTCATACCAAGTGCCCTCCTCCATGCCCACTCATTTTCCCCTCTTCCCCACCCCCATCAACCCTCAGTTTGTTCTCAGTATTTAAGAGTCTCTTACAGTTTGCCTCCCTCCCTTTCCTTAACTATTTTTTTTCCTTTTCCCCTCCCCTATGGTCCTCTGTTAAGTTTCTCCTGTTCCACACATGAGTGAAAACATATGGTATCTGTCCTTCTCTGCCTTATTTCACTTAGCATAACACCCTTGAGGATGGAACTCGAGGGTGTTATGCTAAGTCTGCGGATTCTGTGTCTCCCTCTCTCTCTGCCCCTGCCCCCTCATGCTCAGGAGCTCTCTTTCAAAAATAAACAAACATTTAGTCAGTGCAGAGCCCGATGCAGGGCTTGAACACACAAATCCCAAGATTATTACCTGAGCCGAAGTCGGGATACACAACCAACTGAGCCACCCTGGCATCCCAAAAAACATGATACTTTCTAAATGAACATGTAACAATTTCATTTTCATTCTTAGGCATTAGACTGACCCCACCCCACAGGAAAAAAAAAAAAAGAATTTAGATAGTTCATGTTAGGCATTTTCCACAAAATTTGAACAGTGAAAAATAAGAGCCTTTTTTTTTTTCAAATGTCCTTAGAGTTTGCAAAAGTTCAAATTATTTAATTGCCTTATAAACTGCTTCACCTAATACACTTGGTTATTCAATACTTGTTGTAGATGATTGCCAACTACTAAAAAATTTGAAAGAAGTGTTAATGCAGTGGTTCTTAGTGGATGATTTTACCCCAGCTGGATACTTGGCAATATCTGGAGCCATTCTTGGTTGTCACAAGCTGAGGAGGAGGAAGTGCTACAGGCATTTAGCGAGTAGAAGGGCTAGGGACGCTGGTAAACACAGGCCAACCCCCACAACGAAGAAAATGTCAATAGTCCCCAAAGTTCAGAAACTGTGGGTTAACTGAATGCTAGTTAGACATGAAAACCTGTGTTAATGCAGGAGGCACAGTGCTAGTTTCTATAGATACAGAGAGTAAGACAAAAGCATGAGACAAAAACTCAGATACCTGGGTTCTATTCTCGGCTCCATCATTTACTAATAATGCAATCTTGGGCAAAAAGGGTAACTTTTCTGTCGCAAAACAGAGCTAGCTGCACTTCTCTCTGTTACTGTCAGGATCACAGGAGACAATATATCAATACTCAGCGATGAACCGATGTATATTTCAAAACAAAGTGGGAAACTGTTACTTACAATCTAGAAGAGCCTTAAGGACAGTGTAATGGACTATCCTGATTAGGATCCCTGAACAGAAAAAGAACCTTATGCAAAATTAAGAAAATCTGAATTAAGTATGAATTTCAGTTAATAACAATGCATTAACACTGGTTCATTAATTGCAACAAATATACTACTCTAATATAAGATGGTAATAGAAAGGGAAAATGAGTGAAGAGCGTATGTGAACTCTATATACTAGGTTCATGATTTTTGTAAATATAAATCTTTTCTAAAATTTTAAAAATTTAAAAGGTAAAAAAGGAGGGTACTTTCTTCTTCCTTCCTCTGAACTAAGGGGACAGAGTCCCTACTTTCAAAGAGTTTATCCCTTACCTATTCATATCACCTGATGATGTCAAGCTCTAAACAGTATTCAATATATAAAGACTGCTAGCAGATAAGGCAAGATGTGTCACATACCAGGAGATTTAACTCACTAGAAAATAATATGTAAATCCTAAGTCATTTATGATTTAAGATAATGTTAAGAATTAATTTTCTTCAGGAGGTTTTAAAACATTACAGAATTTTCAAGACAAAGGAAAAGAACTACATCTACTGGACATTAACCAAAGCCTTATGAAAACAGATAAATGTAGAGAACTGAGTTTTCGGTATTAAAGTAGACAGTTGTGACTAAGTGGGAAAAGCCTTCTATACACGGATATCAACATACAACACTTTTACTGCATATTGGTTTTGATAGTTCAAAGTTTGTTATCCTCTTATATAGTATTAGAGACGCCATACTGAAGACAGAGACTGTCTCTAAAAAGAAGGCTGCAAGTAGGTAAAGAATGTAAAAGAAATCTCTTCTAATAAAAACAATTTTAAAATATGTTAAAAAGAACTATCAATAAAAGCAGGCACTGGCCCCTACTTTAATTCATACAGATTAATGAGATAGCTTATGGGAAGTACTTTGAGCTCCCTGGAAAAGCGATACCCAGTGAATTCAAAGAATTAGGTTACAGTATAAAGGGATAACAGGATAACTTACCACTTTCTTATTTGGCTGTATTAAAAGGCAAATATCTTTAAAGTATGTCCTGAAGGTTAGCATATGGCATTTATTTCTTCTACATAAGTCAGGTCCCTGGTTGTTACAGCCCCATTAAGGTGTGGAAGAGTTACTAATAGGTAGAGAACTAAGAGTAGAAAGCTGCTTGCCTGAGCACACAGAAAGGAAATACCAAGGAACCAAGAAGCACAGGCTCCTATTACTGTGTTCCCTGGGACTTGACAAGGAAACAGAAGGGTGGAAGAGGAATTAACAAATGCTAACAGGTAGGGTTCCAATCCTAGCAAGCAAAACAAATGAGAAAAGGCAATGGGCCCTTTTCTGCCCACTGTGCTGCTGTGCAGGACACTGGTCTTTTCAAATCTGCTAACCAGCACTTCAGTTCTTCCCTTTGGAAGTCATCTACTTCATTTTGAATACATGTTCCCTTATGCTATCTAAGAACCTGTTCACAAATGCCCAAAGCTCAGAACTGGTAATTCAGCTGTTAGAGAAGACACAGTGCCATGTTTAATCACGTAAAATTTGGCAATATCTTTCTCTCAGAAAGTAAGCCTGAAGATTTCCCAAGTCTGTTTTCAATACCATTTGATTTTGAATTCTCAAATGATTATTATAAAACAGCTCTTTTCACAATGTAAAACAAAGAGAAATTCTGAATGTAGCCATTATGTACTTATCTGAATCCTTTAAATTGGAGCAGAATAAGGTCAATCTTATGACTGTTCCTAAAGTAGTTCTCTATCACAATTTATCATTAGCATTTTGAAGATTAAAAAGGAGCAATAGTCATTAGAAGTCAAACACAAGACTGGAGCCACTGAGATGCACCCGTTTGACCTAAGTCAATTCACTGACTACTGTCACCTTGAGGAAGGAGCCAGTTTCACTGGTTGGTATTTTCCAAAGGAAAAGTTTTTGTTAGATAGGGAACCAATTCGTAGAACACCCCACACAGCAGATACAGAAGGGGGTGGGGGGGCGTGGATTGTAACTTCTCTAGAAAGTTTTAAAAAATGTTCTCTGGATTTTTTTTTTTTTTTTTTTTTTTTTACTGAGTTGTAATATGGAGGATCAGAATTTTAGAACTTCTCATCCATTCCAATTGTTTGGGCATTCAAAGAAAGTAAGAAGCTAAGCAAACTGCTCTCAAAGCCAAGCCACGATTAAGCTGGTGGCAGAAATTCACCAATGTCTCTCCTAATATTATCCATCCATTAAAAAAAAAAGTTCAAAACTTCTATTCACTGAAATACTGCCTATCCAGAAAATTTAACGATCAAATGTTTATTTTTTTGGCAAGTTCCTGCCCATCGAACAGAACCCAGGAAGTATGGAGAACAGAGTGGGCAAGAGAGGGGTCACTGGCCATACTGCAGAGTCGAGGTCTGCGACTGAAACAAGTCCAGATATACTTGCTACGAGTAACGACGTGGAGCCTATCTGGAGACCTAGTGAGAGCGCCTGGCACGCAGCTGGCCACTGACAAGCACGCAAAGAAGTTCAAGTTGGGGGACTAAGTAAAAAGCTGGGCTGTGAGGGCGGCGGGTTCGGCCAGCTGCAGCCCACTCGCGAGGCAGCGACCCAATTCGCCGACAAGGCTGGGCACCAGCCCCAAGGGGCACAGCTGCGTGGAGCCCGCTGGACCCGGCGGGGTACCAGCCTCGCGCAAGAAGCGCAGCATGAGCCCTCCAGCCTGCCCCGTGACCCCCACATTCCCCGGACAGGGGTTTTCATCAACTACCTGGAGGCCTCTGCGCTGGGCTGTGGAGAGCTGAACGGTTCAGAGCCGCCGCCTTCTCCCGCACCGTGGCCATGACCGTGGACGCCCCGCCGCCAGCTCCTCCGACCGCTGCACCGCGGAGTGCGCGCCCGCGCCTTGGCCGCCAGTTAACTGGCCCGGGACGGGGCGGAGCTCCGGTCAGGCCCCGCCCCCGGCCCCGCCCGGCCCCAGCTTGCCGCACGGCACTGGTCACGTGCCTGCAGGAGCTGAGAGTAACCTGCACCCCCGCGGGCGCGGAAAAGGTGCGGCCCCGGGCACCCCTTCCCCACCCCTCCATGCCCAGGACTGCACCACCGTTCTGTCGTGTCGCTGGCGGTAGCCAAGTAGGGAGCACTTGTGTGTAGGAGCCGCGAGTAGGCGCCGGCATCCGCATCCCACAGCTACTCAGCGTCGCGGGAGCAAGAATTAGACCACGTGGGTGCAAACCACGTCCCACCGTTGATTAGCTCTGGGGCTTGGCAAGTTGCTTAACTGCTCTGTGCCTCACTCAGTGCCCTCACCTGTGGCGTGGTGTTTTTTTGGTGAAGATGACACAAACTAATTCATGTTCAGAATTTTAGTACGTGGTCCTGAAACTTTAGTTAACTTTAGCTTAAAATTGTCACGATGATATATGCATCGAATTTTTCATGCATTCTTCTCTGAAAGGAAAAACAAAAAACAAACAAAACCCAAATCTTTATCTGGCCCAGGAGAGCAATGTCTAGAGGTCATGGTTAGGAGGGCGGCTGGCTGGGCATGGGGTTGGCTGCCAAGAAAATCGGTGCCGCCTCCAAAGTCACTCTGGGTCAGGAGGGTAGGCCAGAATTTGCTGTGAAAAGGGAGTGAAGGCGAGGAAAGGGAAGGGAGGGTTGTTAGCGGGAAGTTGCAACTAGGAAATCTAAGCGGTACTTCTGAAAGAGTGAAGGATCTAAGTAAGGGACCAATAATTCACTGCCAGATACATGCTTGTTTTTTTTTTTTAAATTTCAAATTTGGGTGTTTTGCAATCATTTTTAAACTTTGGTACATATAATAAATATCTCGTTAAGGAGGACACGTGTGTAATCAGGTTATAAGTTAGAATGCTTTTAGGTGTGAATTCATTACTTCGCTTATTGGAAGAAGCTCCTGCATGTGGTTTAGAGAATGCAATTCTCAGATTACATACAGGTGGTTGTTTCAAAGAATACATACTTAAGAAGCTGTGACCCAGAATCCCGACTTAGTGTGTCCCGGCGCAGGGGCAATCTGAAGATTTAGAAAAGGTTGCCAGCTGGTTAGTCCTTTTTTTAATGTGCTCTCTCCCCCTGGTGGTAGTAAAGTCTGGCCTCACTCTGTTCAAGAAATTTCCTCTCTAATTTCTCAGTGGGTTCCTGCTGGCAGAGATAAGATACAATTTAGGACCAGTTTCAGGCATTCATCAGAGCAGTTAGCTTTAGCCTGTCCCAGGCTGCATAATTGTATAAAAATACACGTTCATTTAAAAAAAAAAAGGGGGGGGGGTCGCCTGTGTAGTTCTGTTGGTTGAGCACCCGACTTCAGCTAAGGTCATGATCTCAGTGTCTGTGAGTTTGAGCCCCTAGTCGGGTTCTGTGCTGACTGCTCAGAGCCTGGAGCCTGCTTCAGATTCACTCTCTCCATGCCCCTCCCCTGCACTCTCTCTCTCTCTCCATAAATAAACATTAAAAAATTACATGTTCGGGACACCTTGGTGGCTCAGTCCATTGAGGGTCCAATATCAGCTCAAGTCATGATCTCACTCTCACTGTTCATGAGTTCAAGCCCAGCACTGGGCTCTCTCCTGTCAGCACGTGCCTGCTTGGGACCCTCTGTTCCCCTGCCCCCTGCACTCCCAGACTTGTGCTTTCTCTTTAAAAAATGGATAAACATTAAAAAAAAAAAAAAGTTCATCCTCATTGCTTGGGAGAGAAAAAGCTCATACTATTTCTGAAAACAAGTCTTGACAAACACCAGTATTGGGTCTGTTGAAAAAGGCAGGTGACCTTAATGACCATTTTGATAATTTATATAACATTTCAAATAATTTTTATCAGTTAGTGCTGTATTTGTTTATCTCACTTGAAATGCATTGCTTCTTCTCCACCTAACCACATTCTATGCACCCTGGAGGCTTAACTCAAATCCCACCTTCTTCACTGGACAGATTGTACTCTGATATATTCCTTTTCTGACCACCGATGGCACTTAAACAAGTACATTACTATTTAGGGCTGCCTCCCCCAGCTTGTACAGATCTTACCTAATTATTCCAGTGCACACACACTGATTGCCTAACAAAATTGGAAAATTGTCAAGGACGGAGAGCATGTTTTTTTCTTTTTGTTTTTATTTAAATTTACATCCAAGTTAGTTTGCATATAGTGCAATAATGATTTCAGGAGTAGATTTCAGTGATTCATCCCCTATGTATAAAACCCAGTGCTTATCCCAACAAGTGTCTTCCTTAATGCCCCTTACCCATTTAGCCCATCCCCCCATCCACAACCCCCTCCAGCAACCCTCAGTTTGTTCTCTGTATTTGAGTCTCTGATGTTTTGTCCCCCTCCATTCTTACATTATTTTTGCTTCCTTTCCTTTATGCACATCTGTTTTGCATCTTAAATTCCACATATGAGTGAAGTCATATGATATTTGTCTTTCTCTGACTAATTCCGCTTAGCAGGCAGAGAGCATATTTTAAACTTTCAGATTTCTTTTAGTAGCTAGTGTTAGGCATATAATCTCTTAATTATCCTCATCAAAATAGAGAGTCTTAAAAATATAGAAACTTTGCAACCATCAATAGATGAATGGATAAAAAGATTGTGATATATATTTATTTACATTATATATATATTTATAAATAATATATATACACACAATGGAATATTAGTCATAAAACAAAAAATGAGATGTGGTCATTCATGGCAACACGGCTGGAACTAGAGGGTATTATACGAAGTGCATAATATGAAATGAAACCAAATGCCATATGATTTCACGTATGGATAGAAAAAACAAAATAAAAAAACAAATTAAATTAAAAACAAAATAAATGAATGGACATACAAATAAATAAAATGTTTATTCATTTAGGCTATTACAAAGTCTTAAAAGCTTAAAGAGTAAATATACATGATGCTGAAAATATCCTCTTCTGTTACCTAGGAAGATTTTTTTCAGATGTAGTTTGCATTATTTGTTTTAGATTAATGTTAGTTCAAATGAGTGCATTCAACAAGTTTGAATCCATTGCTCATAATTTAGAATAAAAACTTTAGATTCACATGTCCTTAAAATGGCCTTTTTGAGAAGACCAAAGACCCAGGGTCTATAAGGACTTTAAAGATACTCTAGGGATGCCTGGCTGGCTCAGTTTGGAAGAGCAGGCAACTCTTTGATCTCAAGATCATGAGTTTGAACCCCACATTGTGTATAGAGATTGCATAGACAAATATGTGAAATTAATTAAATAAAATGAAGATACTCTAAAAATCGCAATCTAGGGGCACGTGGCTGGCTCAGTCTGCAGAACTTGCAACTCTTGATCTTGGGATTGTGAGTTCAAGTTCCATGTTGAGCATAGAGCTTACTTAAAAAAAGAAAAAGAAGAAGAAAGAAGGAAGAAAAATAAATAGAGTCTAAAATAAAATTTTCAATAAAATATAATAAACTATTCTACTGATAATGATTTCTACCATTATATACTTTTAAAAAATGCAGATAAGTGGGGTGCTTGGGTGACTCAGTCAGTTAAGCGTCCAATTTAGGCTCAGGTCATGATCTCTAGGTCTATGAGTTCAAGCCCTGCGTTGAGCTCTGTGCTGACAGCTGAGAGTCAAGAGCCTGCTTTGGATTCTGTGTCTCCCTCCCTCTCTGCTCCTCCCCTGTTCTCACTCTGTCTCTCTCTCTCTCTCTCCCTGTCTCTCTCTCTCAAAAATAAACATAAAAAAATTTTTTTAACAAAAAAATTAAAATTAAAAAAATAATAGAGGCGCCTGGGTGGCTCAATCAGTTAAGCATCCAACTTCGGCTCAGGTCATGATATCACGGCTCAGGCTCGTGAGCTCAAACCCCGCATTGCTGAGAGCCTGGGCCCTGCCTCACATTCTGTGTCTCCCTCTGTCTCTGCCCCTCCCCTACTTGCACCTTGGTCTCTTTCTCTCTTCCCAAAATAAATAAACATTAAAAAATTAAAATAAAATAAAATAAAAAATGCAGATTCATGTCCTCCATCCCACTTTTTGAATTTTTGCCTCTGGGGTGGTGTCCCTGACAATCTTCATCATTTTTTAATTATGGTAAAAATAGACAAATCATCATATTTAACATGTATCACTGATATGGAGAATGCAGAATGTCAAGTAAACCACATTTTGAGAAATACTTCTCTAAAATCTCAAAGTTTCCTTTTTCCTGATAGGACATTGTTCATAGAATATAAGCTCCAAGACCTCAGGAATTTTTTTCTTTTCACTGCTATATGCTCAGCACTTAGTTCAGAACCTAGTTCATAATTAGATCTTAAAAATTTTTATAAATGCCTGAAAAAAATAAAATATTTCAGATGCAATAAGTATCAAGCAAAAAATGTATAATATTCTGTATACAAAGTATACTTGATATAATGGTATATCCTGAGTTTTCCGTTTTAAGAAGCATAAAAATTTTAATGTAAACTTCTGTACAATTTTACTTGGAAATTTAAATCATAGAAGATTGAGTACTAAATTAGTATTACTAGTAACTTTCCCTTCATGTGATTTCAAATACAGGACTTTTAAAGTTTTCTTATTAGTTGAAAGCTATGGGTGCTATGAAAGAATTAGAATAAACTATGTTTACCATAAGCATTTTGTAGAAATATTCCAGTTATCCACAGTCCACCCGCTTTGTTCTTTATGTGGACCATAAATCAACAATGGCCCGTCTCATGGAACAGTGAAATACACTAAAATGGTTGTTTTACTTTTTGTTCTATACAAGTTTCAATTAACTAAAAACTAATATATATCATGACTAATATTTAGAACATAATAATGTCTGTAGCAAAATCCTGGAACTATTTTGGGCTGATAAACT